TAAATTTATTTCCTTACCTATTTACATTATCTTAAAGGCCAACCAACACCACGTGGTAAGTCATCTATGGTTTCTGTCATCCATTTTGTTTTGTCTAAGGCTTTTATTTATACTTTCTGTTCTCTTTTGTAGGCCACCTTATCTGGGGCTGGTATTTGTTACCTAAAAATTGGTTATATACTGTTTTACATTGGACTAAATTAATCTAAGATAGACCTGCTTACCTAATCGCTTAATCGCTGCTACTGCATGGACCACTGGGACACAAGTAAGACGGTTCTTATTTAACTTAGACTGCTTATATTCTCTTCGCTCTTCATTTTTCGCTCTTCATTCTACACTCTTCTTCACTCTTCGGTTACCTAACTTATGAGGCTTTGGGCTTTGCTTTATTACCAAGGAAGTACCACTATTGTGCTCCGAACGCTTTGCATGTTACATACTATTATTTTATTTTCTATAATTAAAAAGGCTGCTATTCTTAATTAGATGCATGTGTATCATTGATAAAAGCTGTAAACGATTGGTACCAATTGGAAGAATAATAATAATAATAATATTGTGCATGAATTTTAACTCTGCATTTTTTTTTAATATTTAAATTATCACTAATTGCTTTAATTGCTGTAAATTCACAGTAACCGAAATTAAACCACCACAGTTTCCTGGAATACCGCTTATTATTGTCATTCAACGACCCTCTCTCCGACGTTAATTTAAAGTTCAGAACTAGTCGAGGTACAACTGTTAGGAGCAATAATACACTCAGCACAACCTCCTAACAAGAGAAAGCTTTCGAACCTTGAGTAACACCATCAAGTTGGATTAAAAGGCGGTTTAAGGGAAGTTCGTTTAGATGTAACATGCAAATGAACCATTGAAGAGGGCGATTTAGGGCAATTTCTAGGAGTTTTATTATTCCTGTGTTGACGTTAGTGTCATCACATCCAACTGCTATTAACGATTCAATCGATATTTCTTTTCTATTAAAGAAATCCAATATGGCAACTTTGATGACAGCTGATCCAGACGATACGGCTAAATGACCGAGGTAAATGGAACCTGGCTCTTTTACCAAGGATATATGCTCCCCTGTAATGGTACTATAGTAATACTTATCGCCCTTCTTAGTGTGTGTCGGGGATTTATCCTTCCGTCCATCAAAATATAACGCTTTTACTACCTCCATGTTCTTATTTTGCAATTCTTTCCTGTGCTTTTCCCTTTCCCGACGAACTTTATTTCGATCTATTATTTTAGAAGTGTCCTGTTCATTAATGATGCCCAAATCTTGTAACAGAGCGGAAAAAAGTGATGCAGCGCTTCTGTCTGGGGATATAGGTACAGCAAAACACATTATTCTAAATTGTCCAGCAATACAAGTACAAGTTGTGCAATTAAATAATAGCCTTTATCAACACTTAAATATTACAAAACCATTTTAATCTACACCAACTGTTACAATCAAAAGAAATAAGTTACTATAAGATACTTTTTCAACATATCTGTAACATTAAACTTAAATTGTAAAAAAATAGAATAAGTTCACTTCCTCTGTTAAAACTCCTTAATTGTGATCCTACCTCTCCGGGTCCTCTTGTTAGTCTAAATCGCTTAGATAGACCCATAAGCGTAATTGTGTCCATGTGATATCCCAAAAAAAAAAAACAAAAATAAAACAAAAAAAAACAAACAAAAGAAAAAAACAAGAAAAACAAACAAAAAAAACAGAAAACAAAATCATAAAAAAGACTATAATTTTAGATAAACATAAAACTAATAATTGTAAAATTGAATTTTCCCGACAATAAATCAATAAGGAAAAAAAATAATAAATTAGTTTGGCAAATGGATTCAGATTCCGCAGCCATAGTTCTCGAATTCACACACACATTCTGTCTGAAACACCGTAACGATCGCACTCCCTAGCAAAAGTTAGATTTACCCTCATTTGCAATTTTGAAACGTTTGCAGTTGTGGAAGAACAAGAGGGCTGAGGATCAGAGTCAGGCAATTTTTCAGTATCATTCCTAGTCTCATTTTCAGTCTCCTGACCCAGATGCAGTATCTTCAATTTTGGGCGTGTTTTAAATTGTTCTTCAGGTTCTAGGGATCGTTCCATCTTTCTTTGGTTTCTTTTTCTATTTTCCTGGAGGATGCTACATCAATTGGTCCTATGACTAGGTGTCTGGTACTTCGCTGATCTATTTATTACATATTCCCTTTGTTGTGTTGGAATTTTCTTTTCTTTGGAACAAATTTTCTCAGTAACTTTTTTAAATGTAATTGTTGGAACTGATGACTTTTTCCAGATGTCCACTGTGGTGATTTCAGTTTCTGTTGCTATTATTAAAGCTGGTGGATCTTTGCCTGCCATGATGCCTTTTTTCTCATTCCTGACAAACAAGTAGTGTCGAATTACATCCGCATTCGTGGGAAGTCTTAGCTGGGACATCTCGGCAAGGGTTTCAAAGATAGGACAAAGAGTGGTTTTCCTGGTAGGAGTTTTTGCGCTTATTTTACTTTGTTTGGTATCTGAAACAAAAGAAACAATATAACATTTTAAGTTATAGAAATTTAATTAACTTGAATAAAATAAAATAACGTGAAAAGTAACCAAAATATATTTAAAAGTCAGAATAAATAAAAACACATTTTTTTAATTAACTGGGGCACCTCCAAAAATGTTCCGAGAGTCTCCTATTTTTGAACACACACTTTTTAAACATTGAAAAAGAGTTTACACATAGCGTCGGATCGGATTTTTTTTTGAGGGGGTTGGGTCACCTGAAGGGGTTGATTTAAAAAAAATTTTGGCAAGAAAAGTTACTTTTATGAATGGCAACTTTTGCCACCTGGGCCATTATCAAATTCGAAAAATAGGTTTTTTCGATCCTACCTAACAGACAAGGTCACAGGCTCAATAAAATTTGTCAAATGAATCAACCTACGAGTTCTCTTCCCTTTTTTTTTTTTAATTTGGTGTCATCGGCATCGACTGCTAAGGTCATTAGCCTCGTGTTCTGTGTAGGCTTTGTTACTGTTTCCAAGCGCCACTTAAGGAACAGCACTGTTAATTAGAACCCAACAGTTATATTATTTTGTATTGTGATTTGTGCAAACAAATTCGACAGGATTTTTCCGGTGCGAGGACATTTCTTGTTGTTATTTACAACTTATTTACAACATTTTTCTGGGGGTCCACGTGCACATGTGTTCCTATTAACGAGCCGCGCCAGGTTGGAACACTAGGCTTTTGTACAGTCGAATCCCAACAGTACGCAAACCGAATTTGTATGATGTTGGTACAAACTGCTAGTCACGGCATTCATTTTTTCCGATTATATAACTAGCTATCTTATCCAGAAAAAAAAATCTGAACTTTAAACAAAATTAAAAACCAGGTTCCTTGAATATCATATTTTAAAAATTTTTCCAAGCTTATCCCATTCTTAAAAATTTCTAGAAAATCCCTAAAATCTACGAAATACCTACTATAGGTAAAAATCGTCGAATATTTAATAAAAATTATTGTAGAAAATTATTTAAAAAAAAACTTAAAGTTATTATTTTTTGGAGAGATTCCAAGGTTTTTTTGGTAGTTTCAGAAAAATGTGTTAAGTACGTAGTTCATTATATAAAAAAATATGTACACTTTCTATAAAATTCATGGCTTTCTTATAAAATTTACAGATTCATTGAAAAGTACGGATTATCTACAACAAAATTATCGTATACATAATTTTTTTTGTTGTGCTGTAAAATAGTTGTACCCTTCTCCGGGCCCGTATTTTCTCTCTCGTGGCCTGCATGTAATTCGAAATAAAAGTTCTTTCTGATATCTGTGTTTATAATAAATTACAAACTGCATTAATAATGTTTATTTTTCGTTCATATTAGTTTTTGTTAGAAAATGTTAGTTGTCCGAACATATAAGTTTTCTGGGCTCGTCGCTCGTATATCGATTCAACGTCAAGTATATCTCAATGGCGGGCGTCGAATGCACTTCATCGATCCATCATGAGATTTTCTAGGCAAAGCCTTCGCATTTTTAAAAGTGATGAGTGCGTTTTATTGATGGGCGTTTATACATTAAACCTCCCTTTTTATAATTTTCGTCCAATTGGAAATTGGATGATTTGGCTCTTAAAGCACCTAACTCAGCAAAAATTTTCTTCGTATTTCAAAATCGTTGAGTTGATGTAATTGCCTTTATATTACATTCTAAAGGGACCAATCGACAGTGCCACTCACACTGGTCGCTCTAATTAACTAAGACGTAGAAAAATTTTTTATTCTAACAATTTGCCTCCGATTATAAATGAACGAATCCAATTTAGTAGGAATAAGCGGAAATGCAATAGCACCTTGGATTAAACAGCAGAGATGTAACAACATACCGGTGTTTAAGCTGTGCAGCAGTTGCCAGTTTCTAAAGATGCGTTAGCTGAGTGGGAGACTTTCAACCGAAAACGTATAGCAAGCAGTCTCAACAAATTTCGTTCACCAAAACCACTGCGTTTATGGTATTAACTTACTGAGTTCGGGCAGCTCACTCTGCGTACGCGGAGTCACTATCCTCGTCACTATCGCACTCTGTCGCGTTCAAATTACACTCGTCAAAAGACCCACGTTAACTCTATTACGTTCAAATTAGGTGGAGCAGAGTACATAGAGTTAATTATCCTGCACCACCTGGACGAGGCATGAATCTGGAGCAAGCTTGCGCAGAAATCAATCTCCATTCGGTTTTTTGCGATTTGTAGATATTTATCTCTGATTTATCTTTTCCTCCATGTTGTGAATGTGTAGGTAACATTTTATGTTGCTTTGCAATGTGTAATAAATATGGAAATATCTGCGCCAGCCCACAATGCTGCTGTTATGCACAGAAACGGTATATCAGAAACGATAAAATATTGAGAAACAATATGATTTCTTGATCTTGAAAGTAAACATTTATTTTTACTTTATTAACAAATCCTTTTTTTTTTTTTCAGATGATGTTAGTATAGCAATTTGTCCAGGAATTTGTAATACTTCAGAAAGCATTTACGTGCGCACATTTGTCCATTGGGCACAATACCACGGCTACAGGTGTATAGTATTGAATCATGTAGGAGTTTTGAAAAATGTTCCGGTTACTGGTCCGCGAATATTCAGTTTTGGTAAGTATCTAATTCATATTTATATGACTTACTCGCATAAACATATTTTTGCGCATATATAGATACGTTGCAGATATACTAGTGTGCAAAAACAGTATTTCACGCACTTGAATAATAAATGAATATTACCTATTATACTATAGATTTGTACTACTGAAAACTAAAAAGAAGTCACTGTTTTTAATAAATCTTATTTGTACTGCTTATTACGAACATAAAGTCGTGTCCAATAAACTTAGATTACAACAAAATATATTATATTTTTATAGAAAATGTATATGTATATGCTATGTATATATATATATATATATACATCTTTATATCCTTGCTGAGCCAATTGTAGTTTGATACAAAACTGCTCCACCAGGAAAACAATGAGTTTTCGTCTATTTGTCCGCATATATATGTTAGTTCTTATAAAACTTTCCTAATTTTGCAAAATATACAACAAAAAAACAATTTTTAGCAAAAAAGTTTATACAAAATAAATAACACAATCTTGAACCAAACGTCTTGTACTATCTTGAGCCATTTATATAATTTAGACAAAATAAATAACACATTCCTGAACCAAACGTCTTATGCTATCTTGAACCATTTATATAATTAAGACAAAATAAAAAACACATTTCTGAACCAAACGTCTTGTGCTATCTTGAACCATTTACTACAACTAAAAAGCAATTATGGTCCACAGGATATTTTAACACGTTGACTGCCAACATTTCATATTCAGATAATACATCTTTATGTAAAACTCATTTTAACGTATTTATATTTCTAATTTCAATTTAAGTAGTATTTAAGAAGTATTTTAATTTATTTTCGTAAAGATTTCAGAGGCATTTAAAATTATTTTATAATTTTCAAAATTGAACAATCCAATCTTGAACATTTTTATGAGATATGGACTCTGTTTCTGGTTTTTCTAGATTAGCTTTTGAGGTGATGTTTAATAAAAAACGAATATATAATTTAAGGGTCTGTTTTGACATAAATAGAAAATAGTAGGGTGAAAGGGGAAAATGTAATCTAATTTATAATAAGTTAAATTTTTATGCAAAATAAGTTACGAAGAACATATTTTGTATTCAATTTAAATTTATTTTAAATTATTTTCATTTATTTTATTTTTTTAATTTATTTTAATTAATTTGAATTTATATGAATTTATTCCAATGTATTTGAATTTATTTGAATTTATTTAAATTTATTTTAATTTATTTAAATTTATTTAAATTTATTTAAATTTATTTAAATTTATTTAAATTTATTTAAATTTATTTAAATTTATTTAAATTTATTTAAATTTATTTAAATTTATTTAAATTTATTTAAATTTATTTAAATTTATTTAAATTTATTTAAATTTATTTAAATTTATTTAAATTTATTTAAATTTATTTAAATTTATTTAAATTTATTTAAATTTATTTAAATTTATTTAAATTTATTTAAATTTATTTAAATTTATTTAAATTTATTTAAATTTATTTAAATTTATTTAAATTTATTTAAATTTATTTAAATTTATTTAAATTTATTTAAATTTATTTAAATTTATTTAAATTTATTTAAATTTATTTAAATTTATTTAAATTTATTTAAATTTATTTAAATTTATTTAAATTTATTTAAATTTATTTAAATTTATTTAAATTTATTTAAATTTATTTAAATTTATTTAAATTTATTTAAATTTATTTAAATTTATTTAAATTTATTTAAATTTATTTAAATTTATTTAAATTTATTTAAATTTATTTAAATTTATTTAAATTTATTTAAATTTATTTAAATTTATTTAAATTTATTTAAATTTATTTAAATTTATTTAAATTTATTTAAATTTATTTAAATTTATTTAAATTTATTTATTTAAATTTATTTAAATTTATTTAAATTTATTTAAATTTATTTAAATTTATTTTAATTTACTTAAATTAATTTAAATTTAGATAAATTTATTTAAATTTATCTAAATTCAAATTGAATTACATTTACTAAAATTTATTTGAATTTATCTAAATTTATTTAAATTTATCTAAATTAGTTCATTTAAATGTATGGGATTTTATTTTTAATTGTTTTTAGTCATTTTTATTTATTTTTATTTGTTTCTGGGCATCGAGGTATCAAGACATTAAAATGTGTCATTGTAAAGGTGTTGGGACATCAAAATGTGCACTTTTCTTAAATCTATTTATTTAATATATTTTTCATGCAAGCCATAAGAAGTTTCATTTAAAAAATCAACACATTTAATAAATGTTAGCACCTTAAATTCCAAATCAAAGAGTTTTTTGTATTTTTATTTATTTATTTTTATTTATTTTTATTTATTTTTATTTATTTCTATTTATTTTTATTTATTTTTATTTATTTTTATTTATTTTTATTTATTTTTATTTATTTTTATTTATTTTTATTTATTTTTATTTATTTTTATTTATTTTTATTTATTTTTATTTATTTTTATTTATTTTTATTTATTTTTATTTATTTTTATTTATTTTTATTTATTTTTATTTATTTTTATTTATTTTTATTTATTTTTATTAATTTTTAATTATTTTTATTTATTTTTATTTATTTTTATTTATTTTTATTTATTTTTATTTATTTTTATTTATTTTTATTTATTTTTATTTATTTTTATTTATTTTTATTTATTTTTATTTATTTTTATTTATTTTTATTTATTTTTATTTATTTTTATTTATTCAAATTTATGGTGAATAAAGACGATTTATTATTATTATTTATTTTTATTTATTTTTATTTATTTTTATTTATTTTTGTTTATTTTTATTTATTTTTATTTATTTTTATTTATTTTTATTTCATTTTATTTAATTTAATTTAATTTAATTTAATTTAATTTAATTTAATTTAATTTAATTTAATTTAATTTAATTTAATTTAATTTAATTTAATTTAATTTAATTTAATTTAATTTAATTTAATTTAATTTAATTTAATTTAATTTAATTTAATTTAATTTAATTTAATTTAATTTAATTTAATTTAATTTAATTTAATTTAATTTATTTATTTATTTTTAATTATTTTTGTTTAGTTTTATTATTATTTTTACGATATTCCCATACAAACTTTCACCCCACACTGTCCCCTTAAAATACAAAAACCCCTATGCACGTCATTATTTATTTATGATGAGTGGTACCAATTCCAATTTTCAAGTTCCTACCTAAAAAATCGATACTTCTATTCAAACTTTCCCTTTCTTCCGTTTCGCTCTTAAAATGTGAAAACCCAAAACTCTGAAATACGTCGCTATTAATTAAATTGTAATTCAAATTTTAATGTTTTTAACTTTAAAGAACCAGTTACCTACTTTTATAAAAAGTTTTCCCTTCTTAAATTTGAAGTTTCCAAAAAGATTTTCTTAGGGAATATTTACGTTATTAAATAAATCAATGTTTTAAATTTCAGCTTTCTAGACTTGGTAGTTTTGGATCTGCGTTGATAGATCAGTTAGTCCAACAGGACTAACTATTTTATATATTTAGATGACAGATTTCTTCTTTGAAATAAGCAATAAGCGGTACAAATAGTAAAGGGTATAATATGTATAAATACTACACAATGTATTCTTTTCTATTATATTAAATTCCGCTACGGGTTTCAACACATTCACGCAGAAGCATTTTATTTGACATATTGTACACTTTTTTGGCAGATTATAATAATTTCGGTTAGTTTTAGTATTTTATATTTTTTAATAACAATCTAAAAGACAAAGCAGTTTATTTTTTATGACAAAATCTACAGGATAAGCGGTCCATTTTCTATGAAAATATCTACTAATAAGCGGCACGAACTATTTTACGAAAGGGTCATAACTTTTTAAGGCGATCCCTTAGGACCTCCATGGTCTTGTACTTGTACAATGTTACCGCAGTGGTCCATATGGACCGATTTGGTCACTAACGTGTTCAAATATTGTAAGCCGCTGAAAGAATCTAATAATATTCCGCTACGGCTGCATACAAGCGATGGTTCAGGATAGTTGTTATACAGATATACAAATCGAGGCGACTAGAGCGCCACCATCCCAGAATGCGGAAAATGTTGGAACTAAAGATTGGAGTTTCGTCCAAATCTGAGCCATTTTCAAATTTATTCCAGGCAGTCTACAGGGTATTTTAAAGTGTTTTATAAGGGTCTCCCATCCTGAACCACATATACGGCTCAGGTTTGTTTGGATGGTTCAGGATGTTACTGTCGAATATAGGCGATTGGTTCAAGAAGATACTAAGGCGCTATATATATATATATATATATATATATATATATATATATATATATATATATATATACATAAAAAAAAGTAAAAACAGGTTACATATTACAATAAAAAATCTCAACATTTCAAATAGTTGTGCGGGTCTAAAAATTACACATAAAGACAGTCACAATTACCTTAAATAATTAAGTACCTACAAGTATTAAGACTGGAAAGTGTTACTTTGCTGCTTAATATAAAAAGTTTTCATAAGCGACTCGAATTACACACGAGATTTTTTCTATGATCACACGATATAAGGGTCATTCTCAGTTGAGACGTAAATCGCTTATTGATAAAACGCGGCACGACAAAATTTTTGAAATTGAAATCAAATTTTACAATGGTTCGATCAAAACAATCATTTCAAACGTGCCTGCAAGACGGTCAGTCAATTTATTGATTTTATCTCGTTTTATAAGATGCCAGGGGAGATACTCATCCAGGGGAGAGACTTAATGTACAGAGTAGAATACTTTGTGATTAGAGAAAGGATTTTAACATTATTTTATGAAAGAAAACAACATTTTATTGAAGTATTAACTTTATTCAGTCATTTTATAATTTTATTTATCAATAATTAATTGATAATAATTAGTATTTAAAGTTTTCATATCTCCCCTGGATATCGTGTCTTTCCCCTGGCCCTTACAAGACAGGGGAGATATAAACAGGGGAGATACTTTTTAGT